GCCAGCCTGCTCCAGCCGGATTCCTTCCTGAGCCACAGCAAGTTACTTTAGCGCCTCCATTTTCCTGTCTGTGGCATGTGGGGCGGGCGTGCGCACATGGCTGCCTTGTTGCGTGAAGTCGGCGCTCTCTGTTTTTGGCTGGTTTCCCAGTTCCCTCCCACTTGGCTTCCCCAGCGCTCTGAGGATGGGGGTCTGCTGATGGGGAGTTGTGACAAGCCTGTACCAGCTGCTCACATGTTGGGGTCTTTGTCACTAAATATATACAGTGGGCTGGGACCCCTCCCATCTCTCTGGAGTCCTTCTTGGGAGCTGGAGCTGACCATAGTCTGCGATCCCATGTGGGAATCTGCCAGTGTTTGCCAGCGTCGTAACTGTCCACCAACCTCCAGACAGCAGCCGAGCCCCCGTGTGGGAAGGGAGATTGGACAGGAAGTGGATGAGGCAGCAGGGCTTTGTCTTACTTCTCTAGGGAAAAAAGATTCCTTGCAATAGGATGGTGGGGTGGGAGGGGAAAGGTGGGAGCAGAGGAGTCAGGGAGTGGGGGCTTCCCTGGAGAGCAGGGCTCCAGTGTGTGCCCCCACACCCCCACACGCACACACACACACACTCACACACATGCATACTCATACACACACATGCACATATACACATGCACACACGTAGATCCGCACACACGCACACACATATGCACACACATGCACACACACACATGCACATGCACACTCATACACACATGCACATATACACATGCACACACGTAGATCCGTGCACACACACATGCACACACATGCACATGCACACTAACACACATGCACACACGTAGATGCGCACACACACACTCATACACACATGCACACTCATACATACACACATGCACACACACATATACACATGCACACACATGTCGATGCGCACACACGCACACACTCATATATACACATGAGCACACACATATACACACATGCACACATGTAGATGTGTGCGCACATACAAGCATGCACACATACACACGCACACATGCACACATGTAGATGTGTGTGCACACATACACATGCACACACATACATATGCACACATGTACACATGTAGATAAGCACACACTCATACACACATGCACACACACATATACACATGCACACAACACACACGTAGATGTGCACACACATATATACACACATGTACACACACATATACACACATGCACACACGTAGATGCACGCGCGCACACACACACACGCCCTTCTGCATCTCAGAACCTACCGGAGCTGGCCGTTGGCTTGTCCCCAGGTGCTGCCCGGCATCTGTGCCCTCCCCTCTGCCCTCTGTTCATCACAGCACCCCCCCTCTGCCCAGGGCTCAGGCTCTTGCTCTCGTCCAGTGAGTTTCCTCCAGCTGCTGGTGAAGGCAGTCTGTCCCCGCTGAGTCCCCCATGTGACTCTCTTGCCCTCTTGTGCTTTGGAGCCTGGATGTGTGTGGGGACACAGGAGGTTCCTGGCAACACGCCCCACATGCCCGTGGGCCGCCTCGGCTCTCCGGGGTCCCTGCCTGCCCTATCCTGGCCCAGGAGTTGGGCTGGGGACAGCCGCTTGTGATGCTTGTCTCCTTGGCAACCGCTGCCCAGACAGCACCTTGAGTTGAATCTATTATCATAATTACCCTTGAAACTCCTTGTGTTGTAATTCTGGGCAGCACAAAAACCACGGTCCTCCGGTCCTGTCTGAGGCTGCGGCTGGGTGGGTCCCAGGTGGGAGGGTAGACAGGGCCTCCTCCCAGCTTTGGTTTGTTGGTGGTGAAGGGGGATGCAGCCAGTCCTCAAAGCTGAGAGTGTGGTCTCCAGCCTGCAGCTCCCAGAGCCTCTGGCCCAGGTTTCCCCAGCCCCACCCAGGTGAGCAGAATGCTGACCTCCAGGTCTGCATGTCTCCCCACAGGCTGGTCCCTGTCCTGTGGAAGGTCCCGGGCCCCTTTGAGCACAACCATAGGCCATTGTGGACCCAGGACTCCCAAGGTCTCTGTCCTCTCCTAAAGGGAGGAGATGGAGCCCCCGTCCACCGCTGTGGGAGGAGGGGGAAGAGAGACAGGACGTGGCCCCTCCCAGGCCTGGGGCACAGGTCCCCATCAGTGACCAGTGACCCCGGCTTGGCCTCAAGGTGGCTGGTCTTATGGTGGGGGCCGGGTCTGAGGATAAGGGTCTGTTCTCCACACGGGGGGCCCCCCAAAGCGGGGCCTCTCGGAAGCTGAGGCTGGAGGGCTTGCTCCTTCCAGGAACAGAAGTCAGAGTGGCCTGGCTCTGCCTGCCTCCCCAGCCTTGGTTTCCCTGGTTGTGAGGTGGGTGTGGGGCCTGTGTCTGGTGCTGCCGGGTGCTCGCAGGTGGACGAGGGCTGGGACTGGCTGCCTCCACTCAGCCAGCCTGATTCACGCAGTGAATTTGCAGTGAACCTGCTGCACCCAGGGGTGTCTCTTCTGCTCTGGGCCGGGTCCCCTCCCTCCAGGGACGTGGAGCCTGGGGCAGCCCTCAGCTGCAGCCAAGCCCCCTCTCTCCGGCTTCCAGGAACAGTGTGGGTGGCTTCCCTGCGCATGGCGCCATCTGTGCTGTCTGTTCCCAAAACTTAAAAAACAAAATGTGGAGTGGCCGTGTGGGATAGCTGGGCAGCCCAGTCGGGGTGCACCCTGGAGCCCAGTGCGGGGACCCACCTGTCCCTGAACAAACTATTCTGCTCACATTACAGGTGCTGGGCTCGCTTCCCGTGTCACCCAGGCTGCAGGTCCATATGTGGTGGCCTGTCTTCTGTGTTTCTAGAATGTTCTAGATGCCTGGCCAGAGCTCCTTAGGAGCAGACACAAGAGGATCAGATCACTTGGCACCTTGGGCTTACGCCTTTTAAAAATGATTTTATTTTTAATTGTTATTATAAAGGTGCCATACAAAGGGATAACAGTTTCCTGTCTTTTTGGCAGTGTCACCCCTTCGCTCTCTCCCAGATTTTCCCTCCCATCCACGCCTACAAGGTATAAATTTCATCTTCCACATAGTGTCTAACAAGTGCCACTGCTGCATTTGTTCAGCCATTGGCCCTACAGTTTTTTTG